TTATTTATTTTTTATTTATTTTTATATTTTTTTTAAATACGATATACAAAAGCTTCAATCTAAGTACAAAAAATCATGAATATCCTTTCTCATTCAGAAAAAAGAGCAAATTAAAATTACGAGTGACACTAATTCTGTAGCAAACTAATCGTACGTTAAAAATTAGGATGAAATATCCAATACGGATAAATGAATCCTCCGTGACAAAATTCATCCGCGCAGTAACACGAGATTCTGGTAAAAATTAAATTTTCTTGGAAACGCGTGGTTTTTTCATGCAGGGGACAGCCAATTAAATCACAACAACTCGATTGCGTGCCTTTCCATAGTGTTACATCCCAAACCGATGGGCCGTATGCATATTTTACAGGCTTGGGTGAAGTATTATTTGCCATGGATTTTTTGTTATCCACATTTTGCTTTGTTAAGCTCTTTTCCACTGCGTGACGCCTAAAAATTCGAAATAAACGTTACATTATTACTATTGTTATCAAGTATTGTGTTAATCCTAGTAATGATAAATGAATATTCATTCATAAATATACATATTTACTTTGAATGGTGTATGTCTTCGGAGGATCTTTTCAAGCGATCATTTTCCTCGTCAGGCCTATTTACAAACAAAACTTTTATTTACTTATTTCTTGGTTACTGCAGCTAATGACTATTGACTTTCTATCGCCCTTGTGTTGAATTGCAATACCTACTTGTCATACGTATTTATTAAACCTTATAAATTTCCTTATGCAAAATTTTTCTTCAAGATCACTGATCTATTTTAATTGGTCTAATAAAGCCTCCAACAAGATTAAGTTATAAATTATTTTTTGACGATCAATATTTTTACATTACAAAAATAATGTATGGTAATGAATTACGCTGTCTAATAATTACATATGGAAGCATCTAATTTTTTACTTTTATGTTGTGAAATAAAGTGAATGAGTTAACTTGAATGTAAAAATGACCATAGTAATAGATATGTTTTGTCGGCTGCACGTTAACCATCTAACTTATATTTGTTGACATTAATATTGGTCTATTAGAGTTGAACTTTATTAATCAAACCATTAGCTGGTAGTAAGAAATTAAAAATAATAATTACCACAGATGTAGGTGATCTAATTCTTGACCTACAGTGGAAACACTTGATAATTCATAAGCTTGGGATTGATTCATTGAATTCCAAAACGATGACACCCATGTAATTAACATCACAGAAAAAATAACACGGAACATTATTTTAAATAACATTAGTTATTTAATTTTAAACAAGAAAAATAAAGGCTTTTTGTCGTGGCTCTAACTTAAGTAGATACATTCAAACACAAGTACAATTATATTCTAAGCCAACGTGGGTGTTGAGTTTCCTCGATGAGTCTTTCATGACTGAGCCTCGGTAATCATTTCTCGTGGCTTTTATAAATTTTTTCCTAATCATTTAAGAGGAAGGAACGCGAGGAGTTTCCTACAGTTGTATCTACAATATCTAAGGTGATTCTGGGGTACGTGTAGTCGAATAAAATAGTGTCATGACTCGATTTTTTCGTATTAAAGTATGTGTATGTGAAGAGTGTATTTATCTATTTGCACACATAATAAAAAAAAGTTAGAAGACAATATGTCTGCCGAAATTGAGTAATTTAGATGGATGAAAATTTTTTAATTTAGTTTTTAATATTTATTGTTACCATCAATTAAAAAGGACATAAACTTGGCTTATTATTTATTATTATTATTATTAACTCCAATATCGCTTATTACCGTAAGATTGTAATATACTAATTATGGTCAAAGACAATAACATTCAAGCAATCAGCTCCCCAAAAAAGTAGCATTAAAAAAAAATGTTAATATCAATCGAGAAACAAAAGAGTTAACGCAACGAACAAGTTTTTCTCATATTAATTTAGAGCTGAGCTAATCCAAGCATCGAGTTTCTTCTGCAAGCCTTTTATACCAAAGTTGAGTCATTATTGCTCACGTGTTTGTAAAGTTTTTTCTGATTTTTTAAAAAGATAAGACAAGTTTCCTCAAGTTATTTGTGATCGTAGAAACACTTTAGGTAGAGCTTTTGTAGCAAATTTTACATAAATGTATTAATGTAAGTGAATTTTATTTTTAACACTGTAATTATATTGATCTATAAATATGATGCTAGGTATATTCAATAAAAACATCTGCCACAGTGTTTCTTCAAATTGTAGTAATGCTACTGTCCAAAAACTTTTCTGTAACTTTGATTTTTTTTATTGATTAAATATTCATGCTTAAATCAATAAGAAATCTTGAATAGTTATTTTCATAACCTAAAAGAAAAAAAAAATCAGAAAAAATATGAAAATCAATTGTAAACAGATCATTTGACACTTGTTTAAGCTCGGTTTAAGGACGCAAAAAAAAAAAAATTCGTGCTTTGTTTTATTCGTGCAAAAATGAAATTTAATTAACAACAACCACTTGCTCATGAAAAAATATAATCAAATACTAATCGTTGTACTCGAGCCATCACTTCGCTGTATGGAGTATAATTTTTCACTATACTTTCACCACACTTAACTAAACATCCCAGTCTCGTGCGCATTTTTCTCTGCGCCCTTATGCATCTCACGGCATTTGAAGTAAAAAATTTTATAATAAAATTTTCCCGTCAATCGCCAACGTCAAAAAAAAATTAAATCCACCAACTGTACTCGCGACAAAAAATTACAAAGATCTATCTCAGCGAGAGGACACGTCAACTTTATAGCAAAACAAACACTCGCCACAGGGCTGCGAAGAGTACGAGTATCGTAGTCGTTGCAGCGCGAAAAAGTTGAAGTATCAGCGCCGCCAGCACAGCGCAGAAGAGGACACGCAGGTGCACACAACAGAGCGAAGGTGTCGCGCACACAGTGCCTTGTATGCACAGTTGAGCTGAAAAAAAAAAAAAAAAAAAAAAAACGAGAAAGACGTACTGCGTCACTGGCTACACGGCGTGTATATAGACACGTAAGCTCGAGGCGTCGCATACGCTGGGCTCCTTTATCTTTCCATCCCTCGAACGGCCGGCGGGCCCTCCTTTTCTCTACTCTTTTTTTCCTCCCACCCTCCGAGTAGCAGGTCAATTTAGACTTCCGAGCTTGCAAGCTCCGCGACGGATAGGTGCGCCGATGGAGTGGTAAGATTAAACGTCGCGCCGATCGTGCGAAGTGAAAAAAAAAAAAAAAAAAAAACCCACCCCCACGACTACCATAAATATTAATATATACATAGTTTTAATTTAATATATAACTATACTTTTAAATTGACTTAAAATATTACTTTTAGTTTAGTTGGTGCTTGTAGTTTTAATGCGGTAAACCTACTACTTTTTGTGGAAAATAAGAAACTTTTTTTTCCCAGAAACTATTTAAATAGAATAAATAGTTGTTGTTCAAAATTGCATGTGCACGTGGAGATGTAAACTTCACTGTCATTTTTTTATTTTTTATTCAGCATCAATGTGATGCTGCGTCAAGGCACCTGATCAAAATATTTATACCATTTTGTAAATTTTTTTTTTTTTTTTTTTTCCTATACCTACTATGGGCGTACACGGGTATACATACACACACGCACGCACGGATGACAAAGTTGTCGGGAATGAGAAAGGGAACAACAGCGACTCTCTGAGGTCGTTCGTAACAGATTAGGGGCGGCGCGTGGATAATTTACGAGGCTTCGTTTTTTCCATCCCCTACTGCGCGCGTCCCCTTTCCAAACAGCCACTGTATACACGGATTACGGCTCGACAGTTCATGATCTATTTT